TCTAATGTCTGATGTCTAATGTCTGATGTCTAATGTCTGATGTCTAATGTCTGATGTCTAATGTCTGATGTCTAATGTCTGATGTCTAATGTCTGATGTCTAATGTCTGATGTCTAATGTCTGATGTCTAATGTCTGATGTCTAATGTCTGATGCCTAATGTCTGATGTCTAATGTCTGATGCCTAATGTCTGATGTCTAATGTCTGCGGTGTCGGCCGCCCGTCGAGTGTTCTGATTAGATCCGGGTATCTTAATTAGGTGTCCGTAATTATAATTTCCGAATTAAGCATCTACATCTCGTGAGATTTGTTAAACGTTCATTAGGCTAAGCGTTCCATTTCAGGGGATATCGTAAATCTGATTGACCCGTTATAAACAATTCTTCATTTTAATTACTAGATGTCATGTTGAAACAAGATAATTAGTTACAAAGAATAGTAGGGATCATTCCGGGATTTTGAGAAGCCGTTTGTTTTTGGGCTACGAGATTGTTTAGTACGTAGTCTAAGATATGTTTTGTTTCGGTCACTAAACAAAAGATTATTCGAGTCTGGATTATCACAAAAGAAATTACTAATTGCCCAATCCCTGGGATTTCCGAAGAAGATTTCTGGAGAACGTTTCGGTTCTCACATGGATTTTTAGTAAAGTTTTATTACTTGAAATAATTAGTCTTACTTGCCTTTTGAACACCGAGCTACGAGGGGACTATTAAGCGAATTCGATAATCACACGTGCGAGGCCGCCGTATGAATTGATAGGTTGAGGTTTTAAAATTAATTTGCTTCTAAAACTAGCAATTGTAAATTTAGCGTGATAAGGGAGGGATGAAAATTGCGTCTATTCTTAGTCCTCGACGAGAACGTTCATTGAAACCTTGGGTGTATCTTTTCCCTTCATTTCCTGCGGCGGACTGTAAATTGCCGTTCTTGAAAAATTGCAACAAGAGATAGGAAGTTACCCTGCAACAAATTTCGGCAATACAACTGTGCGTTGGGGGCAATTAGTTAAAGCTTCCGATAGCTGCTGCAGCGGCTGTACATATACGAAAAGGGGTGGATGAAGAAAGAAACAATTTTGGTTTTTTTTTCTTTTCGCGAACTTTCGCCCTACTTTCTCCTTAATTATTTTGATAAATAACGCGAACTTAATAATAACTCCCCTTTTTTCGGTGTATAAAGACGTAATGTGCGTAATTCACCTCCCGAGATGACCGCGCCACTACTCAACGCTATCATTTTATAACACCCGAAACCCTCGTTTAGGGCTCCCCCGCAGCTTAAACTTACGCGTCATTTAACAATTTGGAAAATCGCGTCGCCGAAGTTCGTCTAATTATTTGCGCGATCGATGTAGTTCACCTGCCTTGGGGGCGGGGTGGTCTTTATTTACGTTGTAACAAGGCAGGGGGCGATCCGGAAAAATTACTCCTGCTGTCCCTCGGGACTCATTCCTCTTCGAGGCGCTGCTCTCCCGAACGTAGATTTTAATCTAACTCGCCACAGTTTATGGCTATTGTTCCTGCAGAGGTTCGTCTCGTCATCCGTCCGTTGCGTTTGAGACAGATGTTCGTGCCTCGCGATCAATTATGGCTTAAGGGTGGGTAAGAATAAAATATGCGCGGCGTAGGGCCGAAATGGCTATTTGTGGGACTCTCTCCGGGAGATTATCGTGGGCAGTTGTTTTTCTGGTGACGAAAAAGGAACTGTTTCTCTTTAAATTCAAATAACTGCATTTCTCAATACCAACATCGTTTATCGACACCTTCAGAATTGTCGAGGGGCTGTTCAGAACTCAAATCATAATATTAATACTACCCCTCCTCTTCACCCCCGGCAAAAGATATTCAATGTTCATTTCTGTATAACTATCATGAGACACTCGTATGCTGGAAGGTATTCATACCTCCAGAAGTATACCCCCCCCCCTCCTCCGTGATATTTTCCCCCTGACATCGTTCAGCCTTAATGATTTCTTTGAAAAATTCCACGGGTACTAAACCTTTCGAAAGAATATACCTACGATAGGGGTATTATACACCACAGAAAAGAAAGATTCAATGTTCATTTTCCTACAAGCATCATGAGATTCTCGTTTGCTGGTGGTACGGGGTGATATTTTCTCCCCCCATAACGTTCAGCCTAAAGACTCTTGAAAAATGCTAGGAGTAGTAAACCTTTTTGAACGAATAGAGAACTGGGGGCGGGGGGGGGGGGATAGAGATCAGGGGGTATTATATCCCCCAGAAAAGAAAAATTCTTTGTTCATTTTTCGTTTCCAGTTTTTTAGAGCATGCATTTATCCATCTTTTCTGCACTTCCGGATCTGCTAATGGATCTCTTGGAGTGCTTTTAACGGACCCAGTAAAAATGCCATGGTCAAGTGTCTTCCTAAACAAATTTTTAATGTCAATCTTCAATGAGCTCTTGTTCTTTAATTGGTTTAGGCATCTAGATAGCGGTAGTGGCGATACGATTACATCCGTTGGAATAGGGATATAGGAACAGACCTAGCTCATCATTTCGTGGAAAAAAGACGAAGGCTTTGTTTTTGAGATAATTAACTGTCGCTCGGGATTGGTAGAAAAAAAGACACTAGCCAATAGTTGAATTTAGTTCATTAGCTATTGTGGGCGTAGAAAATTTCCTCGGTAGTTAAAGAGGGGATCATTCAGATTTGAAAAAATAATGAAGTTTCTCACCCGAGGGGAGAGATCGCAAGATTTTAATAAAATGGAAATTTCTTCGGTGTGAAAAGTTGGTTCTTGTGTTTTTCGAAGGATATAGCAAGACACTCGACCGATAGGGACTGGCAAATGGACGCAGGAGAAGAGGTAGTAACAAAAGTGAGCATAGAAGAGATACGACAGGCAGCCAAAAAGATGCCGAAGAAGAATGCTACTGGGCCAGACGGGCTACCTCCGGAGCTAGTGGGCAAGGTGGCCGTGGATAGGCCAGAGTGGTTCTCGAGAGTATTCAACGATGCCCTGAGCACCGGGGTATATCCAGAGCGCTGGAAGGAGGCGTCTGTTGTCCTCATACCAAAAAAGGACCCGGGGTCAGTAAGATCAATGCCCTTGATAAGTCACCTAGAGAAGTTGTTGGAGAAGGTCCTGGCGGAAAAGATCGCCCATTCTTCCAGTCTTTCGGACCGGCAGTATGGCTTTAGAAAAGGGAAGGGGACCCGAGAAGTGCTCAGCCAGATCCATAGAATAGCGGAAACCGCATTAACAGGTGCGCGACATACTAGGGAGGTGACAATAATCACCTCCTTAGATGTCATACTGGAGGAACTGCAAAGAAAAGGTACACCGGGGCATCTAAGGAGGGTGGTATACAGTTATTTGAGCAACAGAAGAAACCGCGTCAAATTACGTTCTGGGAAAGGGTACCAGTTTGAGGTGAATGGAGGGGTGCCACAAGGGTCGGTGCCGGGTCCACTCCTGTGGAACATTGCTTACGACGGGGTCATCCGGCTGGGGACACCAGCAGGAGTGGCTATGGTGGCGTATGCCGACGATCTCAGTATGATGGTGACAGACCGCAAGATTGAGCTAGCGATATAGAAGACGCAGACCTCCATAAACAAAGTACAAGATTGTAGCCGAGCGAAGTCTCTTCTTTCGTACGGAGGGGGTAAGTTTTTGAAAAGTCGTCGATCGAGTCTTTTCTTCGACGTCCATTACGTACCCCGGCGCCACTCCGTTGACCCCCCCCCCCCCAAACCTTTAAACGTACTTTGTTCGAAAACCGCGAGGGTTAGAACGATGCGGTTTTTTACGTCGATCTCGTATCGGTATCCTCCGACTTTACGTCCGACACTTCCCCCTCCCCCGCATCCCCACCCTCTCCTCGTCGGTAAATATCATATTTTAAAAGTTATTCGGGAACGCCGTGGGCTAGAACGATGCGGTTTTCTATGTCGGTTTCTTCCGTATCGATCGGTGTGCGTTCCAGAATCGAAGGTGAATCGAACAAAGACGCGAGGCGAGGCGGCGCGGCCGCCGAAGCCGAGCGACGTGTTTTCTTTCGTGTCTCGATGTGCTAGACGAAGCCTGGAGACGCGTCGACGGCCCCGACCGACGTAAAATATCAAGTTCCGGAGTGCTCACGTACGGGGACGACCTTTTGAATCTAAATTTTCCAAAAATTTATCGCGTAATTGATATTCCCGAGTGCGCAACTCGAAAATTCAAGAACGTCCCCGATTCGATCGATCGACACGTCGGACGTTGCATTTTATCTCAAAAGACACGTTACAAAAGGTTTCGTCGAAATACGAGCCCTACTTCGAAAGTTATGCGAAAAAATTCAAAACGAAAAAATTTTCATACTATACCCTTCGAAAAAATCGAAAAAAATCGTCGTTTTCTCGACCTCTCATCTTATGCGTTTGGGCGCTGAGATTGCAAAAACGAAAAAAAATTCTTATAAAAGATTTACGGTTTCGACGGTAGAGGGCGCCTTTGGTTTTTCGAATTTTGCGCGCCTTTACAAAAAAATTCGTAATTTCGCCAATATTCGAGATATTCGAAAGGTCGACGCGGCGATCGAAAGAGAAAGGACGGGGCTATCCTACGACACCTTCACCTCCCCCAAAAAATGGATGGCATCTACGGGAGAGAACGTAAAAGAAAAAATGAAAATGCTCACGAAAATGGGCGCAAAATGGGCACTTGCCGGTGAAATTCCGGGGACTTTTCTATACTTAACGATTACTTTGGAGGCGATCTTCTATAAATTTGCCCCGCGGTCCCTACGATACGATCGCAAGTGCGTTAAATCGAAATTGATATGAAAACGGCGTTTTTCGAGAAAAGGTGGGCAGTAAAACCCAAGTGGCCCTGATTGCGGGAAGGAGAAAACTCTCGGAGGTCACCCTAACAGTCGATCGAACGGACATAGTGGCTGGGAAAGAAATAGGGATACTGGGGGTAACTATTGATAAGAGCTTGAGCTATATGCAACATGCCCAACAAGCCACGGATAATGCAAATAGAATGGCAGGACAGCTGGGCCGGTTAATGTGCAGAACTGGGGGACCACGAGAATGGAAGTGGAGAGTGCTGGTCTCGGTGGTTGACAATGTGATCCTATATGGTTGCGAGGTGTGGGGAAAAGCAATAAAAACAAGGAGGGCCAGAGAAATGGTAGACAGAGTACAAAGAAAAATTGCCTTAAGAATAGCGACGGCTTATCGAACAGTATCTACTAAGGACCTATTTGTGGTGGCCAGTACACCTCCGCTGAGGCTAAAGATTTGGGCAAGGCATGAAGGGAAGAGTAAAGCAGACATACTCGAGGCATGGGAAGAAGAGTGGCAGATACGAGAGTCGTGGGCGAAGGAGGTGATAGGGAATCTGAAAAGTTGGGTAGGAAGGAAGCATGGGGAAACCAACTATTTTGTGACGCAATTTCTAACAGGGCATGGGGGGTGTACCTGAAAAGGATAAGAAAGAGGGAGAGTGATGACTGCACAGACCGGGGTGCCGTGGATGATGCAGGACACGGAGTATTAAGGTGCCCAAGGTGGGAAGCCGAGAGATACCGCGTCGCCATTAAAGTAGGAGAAGAAATAGAAAAGGATAACATAATCGAAACAATGCTGGAAAGTGAAGAGAAATTGAGAACAGTAGCACAGTTAATTGATAAAATAATAGGCACGTGAGAAAAAGAAGCTAGAAAATAGAAGGGAATAGGGGATAGAGACCCCTCTGGAAGAATGCCCGAGCGATGCCCAGAGGCGGATATCTTGGAGATTAAGGGACATTTCCCTAATTCATTGTTACAAAGAAAAAAGACCTGGCGTCTGAATAGACGTCCTCTTGTTGGGCTGCGTGGTTGGTGAGGAGCTAGAGGGACGAATTCAGTCTCTTCAGACATGGAGATTTATCAAAATAATAAAACGGAGGGACCCTCGACCTATGTTACACGTCACGGAGTCTCAGTAACAATCTAAACCACGCAAGCGCATCTCCACCGGTGAGGAGAAAAGGAAAAAGAAGGCCAGGCTGGCCCAAATGGGTCAAACTGCGCCAACAGTCACCAAGCCATTCCCTGATTCTAGGGTCCTAGAGCTAACTCCGGTCAGGCGGGCAAAAGAGTATTATAGACTAGAAACCAATTTTTTTTTCCGGGTCCATCTGAGACAATTTCTTTTCTGGCCTCAAAAAAAGGCAGTGTATAACCTTCCTTTTTTACCAAAAATCGACTGCACCAAAATTTCTCGGGAAAACACTTTTTCTTATTAATTTTGGTGCGTAGAATCCAAAACAATTCGTATTTTTTCGATCAGACTTCTCAATCAAAAGTTATAGACTAGAAACCAATTTCGAAAGAAAATTCAAAGGGCTGTAACATTTGAACTAGTAGCCCAATCTTGGAACTGTTTGAAATTATGGATTCTACAGGCCACATTCTATAAGAACATTTTTTTTCCGGGTCGATCTGAGACAATTTTTTTTGCGGGCCTCAAAAAAAGGCAGTGTATAACCTTCCTTTTTTACCAAAAATCGATTACACCAAAATTTCTCGGGAAAACACTTTTTCTTATTAATTTTGGTGCGTAGAATCCAAAACAATTCGTACTTTTTCGATTAGACTTCTCAATCAAAAGTAAGCGTAGGGAAAAGGCGGCAGATCACGGTCCCAACCAAAGGCGGGTGGAAAACCCCGCAGTGGCTACAAGCAAGCCGCAGAAAGGCAACACAAAGTAGCGATCATAAATACCAATATCCCTCTGGGTAGGCTAACGGCTAACCAGGCGGATATGGTACAAAATCATCTGACGAAGGTTCTTGGCCAGCGTGTGTTCGTCCTAAAAGCCGCTACACTAGCACCCAGTCGGAGGTACTCGGGCGAGATCCTATGAATATCGTGCGAGAACAACAACTACCTTGAATGGTTGGAGGAGTAAAGGTAAAGGGGGTGCAGGAAGACTACCTTCATAGGTTTCGCAAAGTTGCCATCTGGATCCAGATGGAACCTCACGACTTGGTGTCGTTTGGAGGTGCATAATTTCTGGGCAAAGGTAGCTGGTGTATCTTTCACATAGCCGTGAAGAATCAACCTCAAGAGAGGCATTGAGGAAAAGGATAAGACTAACCTAATCGTCAGGGGTGGGGGGGCTCAGTTATGGCTTTTCCTCTCTAAACGTGAGGGTTAGTAACCATACCGAACCTGAGGTGGGGAGTACATCAGTACAACCACCACAACAACGCCAACATGTGCTACAGGGACATCTGCAAGAAACTACTCCAGCGTTAGCTACTCACCCGGTCCGATTTCGATCTGGGAGGAGTTTGCGAATATTGAGGCGCTGCTGGGGCCTTATTCTAGCAACGCCGGATAAACAGTAGACAGCTATTGTCCTGAGAGAAAATTTTATACAAACAAACCTGCAACACTGTAGGGCGGCCTTAGGCAAACGCCTCACTGAAAAGCAGGGCATTGCCCTCATTCAAGAACCTTGGGTTGTTAAATCAAGGGTTTCTGATCTTGGGGGCACAAAGGGAACCGTTTTCTTTGATGCATGGCAAGAAAAAGTCTGTCACCCTACCTCCCAGTGATGAGATAGCTAAATCATAGTGTGAAAATTGAAGAGCTTAATTTGAGTTAAATTTTTTATTACGGAAACTCAATAGTTCAATCAGACAAACTCAAGGGCCCCTTTATTGGAGAGTTTGCCTCACAAAAATGTAAATAAAGAATTGGTTTAGGGTACACTGTGTCCCCGATAATTGATAAGGATGTCTATCATGAGAGTCTCGGCAATTAAAGAGTTATTATCGTGCTGTAAAGAAAACCAGAGAATTTCGATTGATTCCAACGACATGCGAAATTTACCGATTTCGTTTTTATTTTTTTCTGTTTTATTTGAACAGAAATCATCATCTTTGTTTATATGGCCCGTTAAAGAAGTACGTACGTAATACTGTAAAAACGAAATTTGATTTCAACGGGCTGGTGCACCTGCACACAATGCCCTAATCATGCGAGGAAATATGGCCCATAGGTATTCTTGCACGATTAGAGCGTGTTGTGAGAGGGTGCTCCACCCTGTTGAGACCAACAGTTTCCAAATTGGGTCACGTGGATGTCTTGAACATTTTAACTCTAACCTAAATTTCGTATTCTTTGCCTTCCAATATAGAAAAGCTTGAGGGCGCGCTTTGGATCTAAATATCCTCTTGCCTTAAAGGGAGGTAATTTCGCATAATAAACCTAGTCGTGAAAACATTGAAAACGGAGGCAAACTACAAAGGTACGGCGTTTTCAATCACGGGGCACAATGAGTGTCTAATACAAATTATACGTCGGTAATGAAAGGGAAGCGCCAGAATAGGGCTCTACTCACCAACAAGTTCGATCGGCCCTCGGTATACGCTCGGGAATTACCTGAAACAAAAAAAGAGTAATGCAAAAACATTAAAAAGTACAAGCATATTCAAAATTTATCTCTCGAAACCAGAAGAGGCCCTCGCGTTCTGTTTTTAGAACGAAATTATTCCCCCCGGTGAAGCGACTGTCGCTTTGTGTTGTTATCTCGAATATTCAGGTTAAAAGCTTGTCCACTGGGCTATTCCGGATTACAGATATTATAATAACCGAACCTTTTTCAAACAAAACTCCCGACGTTCGCATCTCACAATAAATCCCCCACTTTCGGCGATACTAAATCGGGATCAAAATTTTCCGTCGATATAGTCTTGGATGTGGCCCGATCTCGTTCTCCATTGTTACCTGGATTAGGTCCGGCCGCGACGAGTGCACGTGAAAATTGAATGGGCACAATGGGCGAATTGTTCGTATAACATAAACTTGATCCCCAAAGGCTAATGCGGTTTAGTACGTGCCCAAGCCGAAGACCTTCCGTGATTAATGGGGCCCGATACATACACACCCTCGACCTCACGTACATTGCGTACACGGGTCAATTTGTTTAAGACACATTTGAACTTATCAATCAAAATTTGGATTTAGATCCGCCGCCGCAGTCGCCCGTTAATTTCTAGGTTATGTGAACGAACCGTGTGGGAATACATAATGGAGAATAGGTAATTAAATTCTATTAGAGCGCATTGATTTTCCCTTTGACGTAACTAAGGGTCATCCCTAGAATAGATTAGAGCAAACATCTTTTGATAAATCCCCTCTCGCTTTGTGTATAGTAATTTACTTCAAAAGACTGACCCACTTTTTGTGTCTATTACGATTAAATCGAAATAGAAACGGGCGTTTTTTTGTTAAATAATCCCCACAAAGGATGCGATTGAATTCAATGGGGGAGATATCATGGTTTTTTCACCAGCAAGCGTATTTTAAAGACAAACGGAGAAAAGGAAAAATCCTTTGAGGATTAAACAAAGAGTTTAGTAGTAGATCAAGTAACTCAAGGGATCTTTCTTGCACTTGCATTTACTTTCGATTCATGAAGATTTTAAACTCTAGGAAGTGTTCCCGTTGCATAATTCCACGAATTGTTTTGATCTTTCAGCTGATTCAGACTTTTTTAGCCAGAGGGGTCTCGTTTCTCTAGGTTGAAATAAACCGAAGATGAGAGCGCGCTACCTTGAGGTTGAAAATTTACGTGCTGTAAACGTAATTGATATTTCAGGCGGAACATCCCGTGCAATGTTTTATTTTTGTCAAATGGTCACAGAATTTGGGGAATTTATTTAATGGTGATTGTAAATTGTGAATTTGTAGAAGTAATTTAAGGGTTGCGGACAGTGTCTGAAATTCAAGGAGCGCATAAATAAGGAAACATTCAATTTGAAATTAACGAAAGCAAATGTGTGTTTAAAAGCCGTTATCGGACAAATTAAAGGTTTGATAAAAATTAAAAGGCGACCAAGTCGGCGGTTCGTCCTTCGTCGATAAATAATGATGCGGATTAATTGAGTGGAGGTACGGATTGCTTAAATAAGTGACTGAAATTTAATACGCATTTTGTCTCAAAAGGAGTTGATAGAGGTAGTCAGTCTGTTTTTGTCAAAGTTAACTGGTCGTCACTGTTTAGAATGATTGTTAAGAATTGAAAAGATCGTTGTCCAGTTCATGCAAGTAAATCTCGAATTCTTTTAAATCACAATTTCGGTGGAAGATTTAATTACAAGTGTCAAACAAAATTGTGAATTTGTTAAAACTCCAAGTTTAGCTCGACAGCTATTCTAAAAAGATTTAGGTCATCGTCCAGTGAAGTTGTTAAAGTTTGTGGAAAGTTTTTAAAACGGTTTTTCTGTATTCAAGAAAGGTTAGATGGAATTGGAGTCAACAAAGTAGTTCTTTGCTTAGTGAAAGTTAAAAGTTTCTACCGTCAGAGCAGCTGCCGATAATCTTTTTCATCTTGTTTATTAAACTAACCCGAGATCAGTTTATTAAAGGCTAGTGAACTTTCCTGACGCTAGTGATTTTGTGTGTTTTTGATAAGTCGGCCTGAATTTCGCAAACGATTCACGAACCGATTA